TTTTTCTGGAAAAAAAATTCAAATAGTTGCAAAAATAAAGCTGACAATATGATGAATCTATATGTATTCATCATACAGCTTCAGCATTTATTTCATGGACAGTCTTGTTTCATCTATACTCCCCTCCCCTAACCTGGATTATTTTGAAGCAAATCCCAGATGTCAAATAATTTCATTTGTAAATATTTCAGTTGTATTACTAAAATATAAGGGTTCTTTAAAAAACCTAACCACCATACCATTACCATACTGAAAGTTAATACTTCCTCAATATCATAAGATATTCAGTGTTCACATTTCTGCGGTTATCTCATAATTCCCTTCCTTTCCTTTCTTTTCCTGTTCTGCTTTATTCCTTCATTTATCCCTTTGTCTCCCCCGTGCCTTTTTATTAAAGCAGAGTTATTTGAATAAAGATCCATATAAGGGCTTTGTTTTTAATCTCATGTTCTCCCCAGCATCCAGTTTAATGCTTGACATACAGTAAATCCCCAGTAAATATTGAATGAATGAATCATCAGAAGTCTAACATGTCCTGGTTGAATTAGTGTAGTCTTACTGTGGTTTTGTGGGAGGCTTTTGGTTTCTGATAACTTTAATTAGGGGTTAACTTAGATGCTAGCTACTCTCAGTGCCTGTGAACATTACTGAAGGTTTGAGGGCAGCGAGTGCATCTGTGACAGACATTTATAGGCTAGAAGGAAATGGGCACTCTCTTTCTTGTCTGTTTTTTGTCCTTAGTCTCTTGTTTTCTCACTTTGAGTTTGGACTGACTGGGTTTGGCTTCTTTGCTATTTCTTCAGAACAGGGACACAGAAGGAGTTCTTGAGGACATGAACAGCTTTCATATGGTGCCATGGTAGGCAGGATTCTAAGATGCTACCCCAAGATTTACCACTAAGCCCCAGACTGTGAATATGTTGAGATATTATGCCTGGGATTATGTTATTTTATGTGGCAAAAAAGGACTTTGCAGATGTAATTATGGTTACTGATGAGCTGACTTTGAGTTTAACAAAAAGAGATAATCTGAGTGGGCTTAATCTAATCACATGAGCCCTTTAAAAGCAGACAATTTTTTTAAAATTGAAGTATCGTTGATATACAATCTTATGTTGATTCCAAATATACAACACAGTGGTTCAACATTTACCCATATTATTATAAATCCTTACCCCATCTAGTAGAGTTACTATCTATCAACATAGAAAGTGTTACAGAATCATTGACGATTCTCTATGCTATATACTACCATCCCCATGACCAATTAATATTGTGATTGTGAATTATTGTGCCCCTTTATCCACCTCACCTTCCCCGCACACCCACCCCAACCCCTCCCCCTTGGTAACCACTAGTCACTTCTCAGTGCCTATTAATCTACTGCTATTTTTTTCCTTCTGTTTTGCTTTATTTTTATATTCCACAAATAAGTGAAATCATATGGTATTTGTCTTTCTCTGCCTGGCTTATTTCACTGAGCATAATACCCTCTAGATCCATCCATGTTGTTGCAAATGGGAGGATTTCTTTTCTTTTTATGGCTGAATAATATTCCATTGTGTATATGTAAGATATTATCTTTATCCATTCATCTGTTGATGGACACTTAGGTTGCTTCCATATCTTGGCTATTGCCAATAGTATGAAGATAAACATAGGGGTTCATATATCTTTTCAAATCAGGGATCTCATTTTCTTCAGGTAAATTCCTATGAATGGAATTACTGGGTCAAATGGTATTTCTATTTTTAGTTTTTTGAGGAAACTCCATAAAAAAGCAGAGAGTTTTTTCCAACTAGTTTCAACGGGAAATCTGAGAAATTAGGAGTGTGAGAGGGACTTGATTTAAGGGATATTATCTATTGCTGAGATGGAGGGGCCTCATTGCTAGGATCTGAGAGTGTCCTTTAGTAGCTGAGAGCAGTCCCTAGCAGGACACTGGGATCTCAGTCCTATAACTTCAAAAAACTGAATTCTGTGAGCTAATAAATGGCTGTTGCTTTGAGCCACTACATTTGTGGTAATTTGGTAAAAATAAAAATGAATACCAGTGCTTTGTGCCTGGTAGACTGAATTAGCTGTTCCTTTGCTTATTTTATTTTTAAAAATTGAGATAAATTAAGATACATTGAAATGCATACAGATCCTAAGTGTGCAATTTTACTTTTTTTGGAAATGTATACACCCATGTAATCACCACCTGAATTGAGATGTAAATTTCATCAGCCCAAATAGCTCCTTTGTGTATCTTTGCAGTTAATTCCACCCCCATAGTGAATTCTCACACCATTAATTACTGTTCTTATTCTTGAACTTCATTTAAATGGCATCATTTAGTGTGCATTCTGTTGTATCTGGCTTGTTTTGCACAGCATAATTGGAACTTCATCCATCTTTTTTTAGCAGTAGTTTGTGCCCTTTTCATTGTTGTTTAGTATTCCATTGTATGGATATACCACCATCTGTTTATACCCTCATGTGTTGATCATGATACCACTTTTTGGTTATTATGAATAATATTGCTATGAACATTAGTGTATAACTCTTGTGTGGATATCAACATTCATTTTTCTTTGGTAAACACCTACAGTGAGATTGCTGGACTGTATAAATATATTTAACTCTATAAGAAAATGCTACAGTCTTTTCCAGAGTGATTGTACCATTTCATATTTCTACCAGCAAAATTGACAACACTGGTGGTTTCCCATCCTCACAACACCTGGTATCATCAGTCTTTTAAAGTTTAGCTATTTGACAATAATTTCTTTTTGACTACTTTGTGCCTTGCATAAGAGACTTTTCATCTCCTGCTTATCACATGGAATATTCTAACACCCCAGTTTTTCAATCTTATCTATGTTTTAGGTCAGTGTAATATGTGAGAATCACCTGGGAGTTTTTAAAAATGTACAAGCCCAAGTCTCACTACAGGCATACTGTATCAATTTCTTTAGGGATGGTTTATAAGCTTACTAATATATATGTATTTGAAAAAGTTCCCTAGGTAATTCTGATCTTTACTTGTCTAAAAATGACTACTTCTAGGCTCAAGTCCTACCTATCACAGCAGATGTTCTCCAAACTGGCTACACTTTAGAAGTATCTGGGAAACTTTAAAAAATGACCAATGCTTGAGTTCCACCCTACACCAGTGAAGTTGGAATCTGTGGGTGGGCCTAAGTATCAGGTGTTTTTTAAAATTTCCCAGTGATTCTGATGTGTAGCCATATTCCCATTGGATTTGTCTGTCTTCTCTTTTGGCATGTATCACTTCGTATATTTGTGATATAATTAATTTTTCATGTCTTATCTCCATCTTAGGCTTTATATTCCCTGGGGTAGGGACCTTGCCTTTCTCATTTCTGTATTTTTCCATGAAGTCTAACACTGAAATTTGTGGAAGAGTAGGTTTCAACAAGGATATCATGAACACATGGATTGGTCATCAGGAAAAGACCTCACTCACAGGTAGATTGTGTCCTGAGTCTTAGGTTCATACATTAGTGCTACTGGGTCCTCGCCCTCCCTGGACTTGGAGCTGTTGCTTGTGGTGACTGGTGTGGGTAACTCCTCTATGAAATAACAGAACATTGTCCTGTTTGGTATTTGTTTTCAGACATATCATTGGGACTAAGAATTATATGTGTATGTGGGGCAGAGGGGCAGGGATGGGTAAGGACAGATCTAATGAGAATGGAAGAATAATACTAGGCAATAGTGGTAAAGAAAGTAAGAAATATTAGCAGAGGAAGAAATTTGAACTTAATCTGATAGACTGGGGTATACCACTCTAGATTTCTGAGTATGAGAGTGAATTAGTTTTTAGGAAGCTAGTGAGTCAGTAGTATGCAGGGAAGATTTCAGTAGAAAGACCAGAGACAAGAAGTCACGCTGTCCTTCTAGCAGAGTTGTTAGTGGCCTGGGTCATTTAGGTTTATGGGAATGGAGAAAACAACACAACTGAGAGATGTTAAACAAAATCATCAGGCTTTGATGTTACAGTGAATCTGGGAAACAAGAGCAAGGGTCGAGTGGTGTCACTAAGAGAAATGAGTGAGCCATTAGAGAAAGCCATTTTAAATGGGGAGTAATTTCAGAAGGTATTTGTATATGAAGATCTCGAGTTCTGGGAAGTAGTGAAGACTAGAGATATAAATACAGGAGCCGTCTGCAGAAAGGTCATGGAAGCTGTGCGAAGAGGATGGTGTGAGGGAGATAGGCAGGGTCTGAGTACTCATTTGGTGTGGGAGTGCAATGCACAGGTGGATGAGAAGGACAATGTCTCAGAAGGATCAGTTGTCTCTGGTCTGAGATGTTGTAAAAGTGAACAACATGAGGACCTTGAAAATACCTTTGAATTTGGCCAAGAGATGGACACCAATCGTATGTTGCTTCCTGTGGGCTTTGGTGTGGATATGCCGCTGCAGAGCAGCCAGGAGAAGTTAGGGGATGAGGAAGGGGAAAGACAGTATGCATGCTCCAACTGCTTGGAGGTGAAGGAAATGAGATAATAGGCTAATACTTAATGGAATTAATAAATGAAGGTTATTCAGGCCAGAGATCTGCATGAAGCTCTGAGGGAGTAAAAACAAACTGGGGACAAGGAAGGGACAGAACACGCTGGAGAGATTTCTAATGACTGAACCTGAGGTGACTCTTACGAGTGAAAGCTGTGCTGCTGTGTGATTCACTGGAGCCACCTGTGTTTTTTGTCCCTAATAATTAAGCCAGGAGATCTTTTATTCAGGAAAACATCTTTCCCAGAGGAAGATAGGCAGTTTCTTCCAAGCAGGTTGGAGCTGTGTCCTGTTGCTTCTACATAGACTCACTTTGGTAGCAGGTGTGCAAATGAATTTAGCTAATTCTCTGATCATTAGATCAAATATCTGTAGACTTAGAAATAGGCCTACTTGGACTCCCAGTTAGAGAATTTATCTTCCTTTTGCCCGGAAAGAAGACATTGTCTAGTGCAGTATCCACTATGAGGCAGCATGTTGATGTCTGACATATAATTTTTAATATAAATATAGAGCAAATTTTACAAATAATGCAGAATGGCCTTAGCCAGTCAAAATTAAATAATACAGAATAGCTGGATGAGGGAACGGATATACAGTCTGTGTCAGGGTTAGAAAACCCTGAAAGAAGTACCTGAGTACAGAGAACTCCCAACTAACCATCTCTGAGGGGGTCTCTTAGACATAACATGCGATCAAATAACCAATACTGAATAAAACTTTTCTCTCTGGTGATGGGGGGGTATCTAGTAAACATAATGTTCCTCATGTAATTGTAGATTAATGATACCAAAATAAAAAAAAGAAACTTTTCTCTCAACAACCCCAGAGAGTCCATCTGTGTAGAAGAAGGCTGGGTGAGAAGTACATTTGCCTTTCCACCTTTTTATTCTGACACATTGGGACTCATAGACCCCATGGGAGAAAACAAATTTCAGAGGCTGTCCAAGAAGCCTCGGGCCCAGTTTAACCCCCCCTGTGTTGTGACACCCTTGCACAGCCCTGCTTCACAAGCATCAGCACCAATGCAACTTTCTGGGTTGTAAGCAGTGCCAACAGGGGGAGTGACAGTGCTCCTTTCAGGGCAGTCCCGCTGCTCAAGGACCGAACACACCTTAGCGGAAGCCAAGGTTTCCTGAGAGACTGAGTGGGGCAGACAGAGCCTGCACAGGCAGAAGCTCGGAATGGAATGTTGGCTGACGATCGGCCTGAGATGCCTAGAGACTGAGTTGGATCTATCTCTATCCATGAATGAGAGAAACTGCTTCTTACTTTCTGTTGGAGCCCCTGACATAAAAGTCTTGTGGAGCTCCTGGCCAAGAAGCCTTGAGGGGTTGCAGTGACTTCTTTCACCTAAGAAGTTAGATTGGCTTACACAGCTAAGCTAAGTAAAAATAGCCCCTTCCACAAAAACAAGCAATTACAAAAATTAAAATGGCAGAATGTCTCAGAGAAAAGGGGAAAATACCCAACACCCCAAATTGTACATTAACAATTATTTGAATAATCTCTGAAGGGGAGTCGTCTGATTCCTTACTCAAATCCCAGCAGATTGTCTCTTTTAAGAGTTGACTACCCCCTAAAGCTGTAATCCCTCCCTCTGTGGGCATTTCTTTGAATAAAGCCCATAAAGCTATTAAAACGTACATGTATTTTTTTGCATTTTCCATTAGGAATTGCCTATGGACCTTGGCAAATAGTTTTCCTGATTGATTCTAGTGGGTTCTCTGAAGACATGCTTGCCAAAGGGCTTAGGAGGTATTCTAGCAAAGCAGCAAGGTGTTAAGGTCCTGGTCCTAGGGGTAGACAACCTTGACAGTGGACGAAGGTATAGAATTTCCCAGTTCAGAATTGGTTATGCATTCGTTTTCCTGTGTATGATGGGTTTACACTAGGCTTTGGAGAGATAGGAAAAGTTATGGCACATTCAAGTTAGACTCTAGTAGGACAGGACTGGGCTGGGAAGGAGTGAATGTGCTCTAAGTAGGTAAGTTTAAAACAAGTCTAGGTCAGGAAAGGGGGAGGGGTGGGAAGTGACATCTCTCTCCCAAGGTCTGCTTTGCCAAATTTCAATGACAAGGAAGTCTGGGTTTCCTAGGACTCCTGGAGGTACCTTTCCTCAGCCAACACTGAAGGGAGAGGCTGTGACTAGGTGGCCTGCAGGTGTCCCCTAAAGGAGGAAAGGGGGCCAGGGAAGAGGCTTTGCCTTTTCCCTGGGAATAGAGGGGTCCCCTAGGGCTGGGGGTGAGAAGCTTGGAATGAGTCAGCAGTACTAACGAGGAGGATAGGTTGCACTACTTCTTTTTACTTCTGAATAAACCGTTTCTGTGGCTTTTGGGGATAGGGTGGCTGAAGTTTCTTTCCTTGCTTCTTGGGCTCTGAAGTTCAGGGAAGAATATGCAATTTCATCAACCTGAAAGTCATGAGCAGTGGTTAGTTAAATCAGTGTCATAGGTCAGGCATTCACCCTTGTCTAGTGTGATTCAGCACATGCTGTCACCACTTTGAAACTTTTAGCTTTGGAGAAGGACTTTTATTACCCATTAGCTCTTTTGCTAACATCCTGCTGAATGATCATTAGAAGAGATAGATTATGGTATTCATACAGTGGAATATGATGATACAGCAAGGAGAACGAACAAACTACAACACATTCAACAGTATGGATGAATCTCACAAAACAATTTTGATTGAAAGAAGCTAGATACATATAAGTATTTTTGTATATGTAAGAGCATAAACTGGCACAACTAAGCTAGAGCGTTGGAAATCAGGATCGTGTTACTCTTTGGAAGGAACTAAGGAGCATTTTTTGGGGGGGTAGGGATGACGTGTGTTTTTTTTCTTGATTTGGGTGCTGCTTACCAACTTGTGAAAATGTATACATTGTTAAAATGTGATTTAAGCACTTTTCAGTATATATGTGTACTCTATAGAAAAATTAAGGTGAGAAGAATTCTGTAAAATTATTGTAAGGTAAAGGCACTAAGGCTTCAGATCCATTAGAATGGAAATTATCCTTTGACAGTAAGAGGGTCAGATTGAACATAGAGGAGGGGATGATCTAGTCCCTTGTGCTGTATGCTATACATTTGTTATCTCATTTAATTCCCCAACTGCTCTTTGAAGCAGGCAGCATTGCCATTTTACAGATGACAAAGCTGAGGATTAGACAAGTTAAGTTACTTGCCCCAGGTCAGAGAGCTACTAAGAGTCATAGCCAGGATTCAAACAGAGGATGGGGATAATTCCAAAGTCCACATTCTTGCAATGAGGTGGACTCATGGGAGTAGCTAACCAATGCTTCTTTGTTGTTGCATTGAGGAACTTTGACCCAAACTTGATCTCACATTTGTGTCTGTAAGAATAACCCATTCTAGTAATAAGATTGGTACACATGGTGTGTGGAGGGGTCACAGAGAAGACAGTGTAGCACAGAGAAGACAAGTAGTGACTCTGCAGCATCTTACTATACACTGATGGGCAGTGACTTCAATGGGGTATGGGGGGTACTTGAGAATATGGGTGAATGTAGTAACCACAATGTTTTTCATGTGAAACCTTCATAAGAGTGTTTATCAATGATACCTTAATAATAATAATAATAAATAATAACCCATTCTACATAGAGATATCTCCATGAGAAAATGAGCCAGTAAAACTGGCTGGGCTTACCTTACTATGCAAGTTGTCAGAGTGGCCCTGACCTGGGGAAGCAAAAGGAGAGTCACTAATCCATGACAATTAATAGCCGACTTAGAGCCTTAGCGTGGTGGTGTTCCTGAACTGCGATTTCTAGCTGAAGGAGGTGGCAGGTGGTGGGAGGGTTGGGGGTAGAGGGGTGGCCTATGATCAGTTAAGGAATTTCTTCCTTCAGAGTCTGTAGTCCAGCCCCAGGGCATTAGTACCAGAGGATGGGCAGGAGTACAGCCTCAGTCCACTTCTGAAAATTTCGTCCAGGTCCCAAGGCCTTGATTTTTGCCCAGAAGTGTTTCTCAGGAGGAGGCTCCAGTGGCAAGGAGGGGCATTGAGGCCCACAGCACCCAGAGCACCACAAGATAGGGAAAGTCTCACCAAAGGAGAATGCCCACGTCCATAACAGAGGCAGGAGGGGGAAGGAGTAAGGACGAGGAATGGCTCCTGGGAACATGTCCTGCCTGGCCTAGGTGGAGTGAACTTCTCTCTCGGGGCTGTGTCTCAGAAATCTCTATGGTTAGGAAGAGTGTGAAGACCTATGCCAACTTAAGTTTGGGAAATAGAGGTCCCCTCTAAAAATTCAGAAGGTAGGGAGCAGTTTGGGAATCCAGGATTCCCTGCTAGGGCAGGGCACGTAGTAGAGCACACCAGGTCTCGCTGGGTGAGTAGCTTTACTTACTGTGGTTGGAGGCTGAGGGTTTGTGTTCTGTGAGATCACGCTGGTCACTTGTCCTAAATAAATATCAGACACTGTGACTGCTGTTCCCAAGCATAGGATCTTTGCTCCTTGAGTTAGGAAGGACACTTACAGCAGGTAATTCCTTGGGGCTCTTCACTGTTCATTTATGCCATGGTTGGTACAGCCTTTCCTCTTAGGGCCTCCTCTTCAATCTACCCACGATCCCTTCTAGTGTTCACCACTTTCCCGTTTGCTGAATGTTCACATTTCCGTCCGTTCTTTATCAATTACTGAGCCTACATCCACCCTGACATCTTTCTCCTTTTGTAAGTAGATGCTGGTTTTTTCCCTTACTTTATTTATTGCCCGAGAAGCCTTTGGTTGGTTCTGCTTTTTCTTAGGTTCTCTTCCTGTCCTATCCCTCCCTCCTCCTGTTGCTGTGGTTGATAGAGCACACAGCTTGCTTTCTCCTGCTCCTCCTTTCATTTCCTCATTTGTTTTCCTTCTTGGACCTTGGCTTCCCTGACTAGGAGTCAGAGGAGCATAACTGGATCTGCCCTCTCTAATCAGATGGGGAAGGGAATCACCATGTCCAAGACAGAGTGGGATACAGGAAGCATGAAGAGATCCACAGGATTTAGTGCCAAGAAGCAGGGGTTTAAGGAGGAGGAGCAGATCCAGGCCCAGAGACAGAGATAAAGTCTCCTTCCCTCTCCCAAGCATGGTAGTTAGCCTTGGAGAAAGCGGAACAAGAGGAAAGGCATCATACCCTCCAGTCTTTCTGATATACAGAAAGTACACCAGGGCTGCTATCAGAGCCACCCCAGCCAGGACTCCAATCACGATGCCGGCAATAGCCCCAGCAGAGAGGCCAGAACTTTGTTGTGTTGCATCATCTGTAATGAAAAAAAAAAGAGAAGAATGAATGAAGGTGACATTATTTTATAGTTGGGGTGCCCTGGGAAACAACTCTCCACTTGTTCCCTCAAAAAACAAATTTTCTCTGAGAAGGTCTGCTGGGAAGTGATTAGCTAACTATATTCTTGCAACTGTTTCCTCTCAGTGTATTTCTAGATTGGTGATCAGACTTTTCTCAGTTTCATTCTGGCCTTTCTGCATTCGGGCATTTTTGAAGGCTTTGGAAATGTGAAACAGACTGATTGCTATTTTTTATATGTTATAGCTTCCCACCTTTTCATGGTTGCATCTTTTCTGTGTACCAGGTGTGGCAGTTGTGAATATGTGCTTCTCAGGTCTCTTGTGGGGATTTAACTGATAGAAGGCCTGGGATAGTGCATTCTGAATTCACCATCTCCTTTGTACAGAGACCACACTTCCCACAGGCTCCCAGAGGGATCTAAAATAAGCTCAATTCTGTGAGAAACAGTTTTCCTCTGATGAGTGACTTTAGCTCAAGGCCTCCCCCTCAGCCTTGCAGACACTCTCTTAGGACTGCATCACAGTCCAAAATTTCCTTCCTTCTTTTTCTCCTTCACAGAGATTGGATCTGCACTGTAGTCTGAGGAATCTCCCAGGCACCTCTCAGTCCCATCCCACTTTCCCTCACAGGGCTTAGTCCCAATAAATAAATAAATAAATAAACAAGTGAATGAATTAATGAATGAGTGAGTGAGTGAGTACATGAGTGAATGAATGAATATTTTCCCCAATAAATAAACAATCCCATTTTGCCTGTCATTTTAGGAAATGAAAACATACTAGGCTTAAAACTTTGCACTTAACTCCTTTTTCCCCCTTTCTCACATTCAGTTAGTAACCATGTCCCAGTGAGTTTTTGTGTAATGAATGCCTCCCCCAACATATAATAACTTTTCTTAGGTATTACTTAATACCATAAATTATGTCTGAATGGATCAAAGATGTAAATGTAAGGGCTAAAATTATAGAAAAACTCTTAGAAGAAACAGAATGAAAGCTTCATGACATTTGATTTGGCAGTGTTTTCTATGAAACCAAAGCACAGGCAACAAAAGAAAAAATGGATATAAACTGGACTTCACCAAAGTTAAAAACTTTTGAGCATTAAGGACACTATCAACAAAGTGAAAATACAACTCACGGAGTGGGAGAAAATACTTGCAAATCATATATCTGATAAGGGATTAATATCCAGAATAAATAGAGAACTACAACTCAACTATAAAAAAACCAAAATAGGCGAGGGACTTGAATAGGCACATGAAAAGGTGCTCAGTCTCACCCACTGTTAGGGAAGTGCAAATCCAAACCACAGTGAGATGCCGCTTCACACCCACAAGGATGGCTTTTATATTTTAAAACCCCTAGAAAACAACAAGTGTTGGCCAGGATGTGGAAAAATTGGAACTTCTGTGCATTGCTGGTGGGATTGTAAAATGGTGCAGCCACAGTAGGAAGTGGCATAGCGGTTCATCAAACAAATTGAACCAAGAATCACCATTTAATCCACTTCTAGGTATACACCCAAAAGAATTGAAAGCAGGGATTTGATCAGATATATTTATATGCTTATGTTCACAACAGCATTATTCACAGCGGCTAAAAGGAGGAAAAAACCCAAAAGTTCATGTTTAGATGAATGATAAAAACGTGATATATACACACAAAGGAATATTTCTCAGCTTTAAAAAAAAGAATGGAATTCAGTTTTGCTACAACATGGATGTACCTTGAAGACAGTATGCTAAGTGAATTAAGCCAGACACAAAAGGACAAATAACATATGATTCCACTTATATGATATACCTAGAATAGTCAAATTCATAGAGAAATAAGTAGAATGGTGGTTACCAAGGGTTAAGGTAGCGGATAGAGAGTTATTGTTTAATGGGTAGAGAGTTTAGTATGGTAAGGTGAAAAAATTCTGGAGATAAATAGTGGTGATGTTTGTACAACAATATGAATATACTAATACCACTCAATGGTACACTTAAAAATTGTATAAATGATAAGTCTTATGTATATTTTACCACCTGAGAAAGTAGTAACAGTAAAACAAAAAAGAATCTGTGTATGACCACATGGTAAATGCCAGATTTAGGATGAGAACTAAGCATATATGATTCAGAGGATGAACTCTTAATCATCTTGACATTCTATTTACTATAATGGTCTCTTGATTGATATCTGCCCACCATGACTTCTACCTGTTTTGCACACCATTGATAGAGTAATCCTCCCAGGAAGACATAAGACAGGGCAAGGAGTCACATACATTTCACATCCAGCCTGATGGGGTCACTCCTGTTGACACTGACAGTGTTGGAGACCTCACAGTGATAATTCCCAGCATCCTCCCTCCTGACAGGGTCTATGGTGAGGGTCCTATTGTCCTGGAACAGCTTCATCCTTTCTGTGAGCTGCAGACTCTGGTTATTGAAGAACCACCGGATGGAGATTCCAGAGTCATTGGTGACGCAGGTTAGATTCACAATGTCCTCATGTTCTGTGACTGTGGTGTTTCTGACCCAGATATAGGGCCTTGTCACCTGGTCTGTGGAGAAACAGAGGAGGTGACTGACTAGGATTGGGTCTCAGCCACTCACAGGGCCCCAGTGAGCTTTGCAAAGGTGCCGCACACAGTGGGCCTGACAGCTGCAGAGGGCGAGTCTTTGTTCAGGTGATGATCTGTAAGGAGAGGGCTGGACCTCCTCCTCTCACCCTGGTCTGTCTGTACATCTCTGTAGTATCAGCACCAAAAAAAAAACTCTTCATAGCCCACATGGCCAGCATCCTCATCATCAGGTGGAATTTTTCACCCATTGGCTTTTGTGTGAGCGTTTTCTAGTGTTTTCTGTGACTTTAAGAAAGATCAGTCCCTCTCTAATATAGCACCTTTACATAGAAACGGAAGGCATTTCCTTCTTCTTAAGTACTTTGTTAGAGAATGAGAATGACCCAGCCAGTCTTCATGAATTTAGGACCTAGAAGTGTTCCAATCTAAAGTATTTCTCACTCTGAAGAGGACTTCCACTCCCTGGCCTATTGATTGAATATCACAGGAAATCTTAGAGAAGTTGTCAATTTTAGAAAAAGCTAGTATCCTTAGTCCTCTCCATAAATACATACTTTTGGCACTGCTTCTTCTGTCCCATGAAGTCTCCTATGCGTCTACCTATTTTTCAAGTCTGCACTATTCTCCTTTGGTATATCACATGTGCTGGTGTCCTATGTATAGAGCTGGTGACTTCATAGCCAGGACACAGCTCAGAGGAGTCTGCATTGAGGCTCACTCTATTCCAATTTCCCTGCAGCCTGACCTGGGGGGGACTGCAGCACAACTGGTGGCACAATTTGGCCAGATTGAGGATAGGCTACCTTCCTACCTTCTTTCACACACACCTGTCCCCCAACAGATGGCATCAGAGTAGTCAGTCATAGGGTAAGCCAGAAGAGAAGGACCTTCTTCCTTCCCTCTCTGTAAAGACAGCTTTACTACATGGGGCTTTCTGGGTCTGAGAGAACACTCTCTCCCCATTCCGGGTGGACCCAAGGCCTGCCAATAGAAATCAAGAGACCCAGGGGAGGAAGAGTCTGCAGCAATTCCATGGGAGGGTTCAGGAACAGATTGGAATTTGCATATGATGCAAGCAAGTGGGAAATAACTTTTTCCAGGATCTTTTCTGAAAGACAGACCTCCAGAGCAGAGCTTAGTGCGGATGCTCCAGGGAGCCACTTACCATAGACTTTGATAGTCTTGACTGTTGTCCTGTTAACTTCAGTGCCAGAGTTATGGGCGATGCAGGTATAGGATCCACTATCATTCGCAGTGATGTTGGAAATAAAGAGCTCCTGTGTGGATTGCTTGGGCCTCCCATTGATAAACCAAGAGTACTGTGCAGGCGGGTTAGAGACTGCATGGCAGGAGAGACTGAGGTTTTCCCCTGTACGGTAATCGGATTGTGAAGGGGAAATGGTGGGGGCGTCCGGGCCATCTGGAGCAAACAGAATAAAGGCACATGTGATGTAATCAGAGGGAAGGGGAAGCTCCTAGTCTGTATAGGGGCCACGGTGTCCCTCTGAGCTGGGTCACAGCCTTGTTTAGAAAGTCCCAACCATAACCCCCTGTGTTCACTGAGCCTGAGTCTGAGACATTACCCTGTCTCTCCAGGCACAGGTTGTTGACCCCAAGCCTCTCAGGACAGGAGAAGCCCCTCACCTCCTAGTCTTGGGTCAAGGCTGGGGAAGACATGGCCAGCCTGGGTGTCCAGGGGTCAGGGCCATATCCTTGGACCTGAGAGGGACTGGTGTGGCCTGGCCTGAGGCAGCGTGGATTTGGGCTGCAGCCTGGGGCAAGTGGGGACAGACGGTACTCACAGAGCACATTCAGGGTGAGTGGGTCACTGCGGCGGGCGCTCACTGGGTTCCGGGCTTCACACTCATAGGGTCCTGTGTCATTCCTTGTGACACCGAATACTGTGAGAGTCCTGTGGTCCTGGGACAGCTCCAGCCTGCTGCTGTTCATGAGGTCCTGATTGTTTATTGACCACAAGTAGGTTGTGTTCTGAGTCTGAGGTTCACACGTTAACACTACAGGGTCCTTATTCTCCACGGGGTCGGACTTGTTGCTTTTTATGTAGGGTTTGGATAACTCCACTGTGCAGATAACAGAGAGAACATTGCCCTGTGTGGTACCTTTGATAACTCCAAAGGCATATTCAATCAGTGGTGGCATCTTTCACCTTTCAGCCAACCTGAGTCCTTAAAACAATAAGGCAGGTCTGTGTATCTCGAGAAAAATGCATGAGGATCTTGGTTCTCAAAAAACATAAGGTCTCCTGCTCATGTCTGGGAGAGAGCAGAGACTTTCTCAAGTCAAATAATCACCAGAGTCCAGTAGTGAAAAGACACAGGACTAGAGTTAAGAGACACCACCCTCTCCCCACCTCACCTGGTTTCTCACTGACCAGTGACTGTCTGACCAACCTCAGAATCCTCACCTGGAAAGAGTGGGTGCTGAGGCCTTTTCAACTACACAGGCCAACATTTGCCCAGCCTAGATGGGTTTTCCCTGAAGCCCTCCTTTCTGGGGTTATCCTAGAGATGGGTAATGATGGGCCTTCCTAAGATTCTAAAACCTAGAGAAGACTGAACAGCATAGCTTGAAGTGGGTATTTGAGTAGAGATAATACATATGGAGAACAGAAGCAAGCCTGGAGGTCAGTTCAGGCAGGACTCAGGCTGCAGGGCCACTAAGTGGGGCAGTTCTGCCCAGGTGTTCCATGGTGACTGACAGGAGACAGCAACCCTATAAACGGTGAAGCACAATCAGGGCGAGAAATGATACAAGAAGAGTGAGGGGGACAGGCAGGAGATGGCACTGGGAGCAGAGCGGTGTGCTCTGCCTTGGTCTTTAAAGTCTCTTTCCCACTGCAGAGGGCATTGAGGACCACACTGGTCTTTCCTGAAATGCCTGTGGAAGTTTTCACATGCAGAAGGGGTGACTGGAAGGAAGGGGCAGGCAGGCCCTCATGGACCATTCCTGTTCAGCACCTATGCGATAAAAATTTGAGGAGAAGTTAAATTGTTTAGATATGTAAAGATAGTTATTAATGCCCCAAAGGTCTAAGACCAGATTCTGGAGGATTCTCTCTCTAAAGAGCACTAAAGGCCACAGGCCAAGTTCTGCTTTCCATTTTGGATCCATCATGATCAAAGGAATATGCCAAAGTGTGTCTGAAATCTGAGACTCCCCGGGAGGGAGACATGTGAGTCCAGTTGGGGAGACAGAAGTGATCGGGGGGAGTCTAGTGCCTCAGCTCTATAAGGGGGAGTGACCCTGAGGCAGTACAGTGACCCTGGTAGTTATAAATTTAGAGAAGGGGTCCCTGTCAGCAGTCCCAGGACAGTCAGGCAGAGGTGGAGCAGGCCCTGCACGGGGCTGTGGCATGCTTGTTTTCTTATCTTTTGGACTCAGGGATCACAAGTAGAGTTTGATCAAATTTGTCTAAACTGGACAATGCCTGAGCGAAAGGACAGTGGCTGGTGCGTCTCAGTCTGAGAGGATCCCTCCCTATGGTAAAGGTGCCATTGTGAGAACACACGTGTGTGATACAGGCAGTAACCAGATGGCACAGGGTCTGGCCAGCCCCAGCTGGGGGAGGTCTCGGAGCCACTGGGAGGATCGGGAGCCTCACCAGGAAGAGGGTGCAAGACAGAGGTTAAAGATGTGAAATGAGCCCATGAGGTTTTGGGGATTGAGGCCTGGCCCCTCCCTGTTTGACTCTCCAGTTGAGTGGTGGGGAGAGTAGATCTCTGGGTCAGTCCCTGTCACATGACATGGTCCCCTTGCTGGCATCAGGGAGGAAGGAAGCCCTGGATGGGGCCACAGTGGAAGCTCATTCTCCTGGTGACCTGGGAAACTGGCCTGTGATGGAGCCTTGGAGGGGCTGCTGCTCTGACTGATTTCTGTGTCCTTTACCTGGGAAGGGCACCTGGCCATGGTGTCAGCAATCAGTGGGAGCATCTGACAAAGGCCTCAGTGGGAGGAAGCTGTGCAGAGCAGGGACGGTGCAGACTCTGGTGACGGAGGAGGCAGATGAGGGACATGCAAGGAGCAGACAGAGCCAGAAGTGTCCAGGGCAGCAAGCAGTGGGGCTACAAGTAACTTCAAAGATCCCAGACACTCAGAGCCCACGGCTGCCACAGGGCAGGACCAGTGCAGCCCTGGAAACCGTTCCGTCATCATCATGACACACAGCTCCCAGGGCCACCACCGGACACGTGGTCAGAGGTTGGGACAGGGGCCTCAGCCCCTAGAGAGACGTGGAACAGTTGGACCAGAACCTGCTAGGACTCTGCATCCAGGTCCCAGTCTCTGAACAGACTATGCACCTGCACTCACCCTTCATTCTTTCCTCTCTCATCAAAGAGCAGCTGAGCTGTTCCACGAGGGCCCTGTGCTGGTTGCAGGCGTACAGTGGGGAGGGGAAGGCAAAGCCCCTCCTTACACTCCAGTGGCAGTGCCCCTATCACACCAGAAAACAAGTGATTTCAAGTCCAGTGTAGGGAGGTGTGGACCCGCCTCTGAGGCGGAGGCCTGGGCATTCCTGGTACTGACCCTGATGGTTGGTGTGCGTCATTTGATTCTAAATGAAACATATTAATTTTTCATTTATTCTCAGTGCCCAGACCAGTCTCTCTTGCTCTGAGCTGGGGCCCACTAAGAAGAAGGACCTGAACCAATGGCTGGTCTTGGGGTCACAGATGCCTAAAAAACCCCCAGGAGAAAGGATGGGGTGTGGCTGCAGGCCACCCATGATCCTGATCTGCCATTCATGTTATATATGATCCTGATTCCGTAACTGTATTTCCCTGTGCCTCAGTTTCCCCACTAAAGTAGGATAAGTGGTAAGTGGTCTCTGGCATGCCTTGAATTCATCTTAAATCATTCATAATTAGCTGATTTAGTGCTTGGTGGAGAGCTGTGCAAGTAAACGGCATCTGCCTTCTTCACCGCCACGAGAGGGCTCCCTGGGCCTGATGCCTGGTGGACCAGGAGCTGCCAGGAACACCTTCTCTCCTCTGTTCCTCCTTAGGGGCGCTGACCTTCTGGAGTCTCCTGAGTCCTCTAGGGCAGGTGGCTAATGGCCTGGACAACGTGTCTGTCTGTGCTGTCCGCCCATCCCAGGTGAGGGACCAGGCTCTGCCCCACCCAGGTGAGGCTTTGGGGCTAAGCCCTGCCTGGTGACCAGCTCAGGAGCCTCAGCACTTGGGCAGCAGGGAAATCCCTTCTCCCGGGCAGTCCTGCCCAGGAGGCCCAACCCGATCCTGGCATAGCCTCTGCAGAGTCACTAGAGTGGGAGGCCTGGGACAGGTGTCCCGGCTGACCTGCTCTGTGAGGATCCCAGGAGCCCTCACGCCGGGCCCTGCAGCGTCTTTCTGAGCCAGGGTCATGGTGACAGGGAGGGGCCAGGGGCTGACTGAGGCTGATGGCCCCATGCTGAGTCCCTCCCATCACACTGGACCTCCTCTCTGTTGGGAATGAGGCGGAGACTGGATCAGGGGAAGGTATTCTGATCTTACGAGGTTTCTCTCCACTGTTTGTGTCCTGCACTGAATGCTCCAGATCAAGGGGGGCCACACTGCAGAGGGGGATGCAGGCACAGGCCTGGTCTGTCAGTTCTCTGTGTGTGAAGTAGAATTCACCCACCCAACACCCAGAGGTCAGAGAGGAATCACTCACAGTAGACACCAAGCCGGACAGTTGCTGTTGTACTAAGAAGACTTCCTTGTAAGGCTTGTAGAGTGTAGTATCCTGTGTCCTCCTGGGTGACATTCTGGAACAACAGGGATCCATTGGGGTATACTGTCTCCCGGCCGCTGTATGCGATCCCTGGGGTAATTGCTTGTTTGTTTATTTCATATGATACAATAGTAGAGTTGAAATTTACACGGTCCCCTTTGTACCAGACATAGCCTAGAAGACTCTCAGGAGGATTGTGAGCAAGCAGAAGAACATCCTGCCCTTGGACAGCACTGGGCGGCACCGACTCCACAGTGAGCTGGGCAGTTGTGGGCAGGTTCCAGGTTAAGAGTGAGACTAGGAGGGAAGAGGGAGAGATCCATCAATACGGGGACCTATTATTGGGATAGAAAGATGAGGCCCTGGTTCCTGAGCAGGGCTCTTCATCCCTCAGCCTTGGGTATGTGTGTGTGTCTCCTACTGGTCAAGGTCAGGAGCACGACCACCATGACTTCAGCCCCTCGGCCCCTCTGTTTGCAATGCTCTTCCCAGTGTCTGTCCGGTTCGGGCCCACACACACTGAGGGCATCCTTGGGAGACACCTGCCCTGACCACCTCCTCCGAAGACCCTCCGTCTCCACTTTCTGACCGGTCCCTGCTCTGTTCCCTCCACGGCCTTGTCTGCTCCTGACAGCACATCCTAGATCTCCCTGCGTGTCTGCCTCCCTCCCTGTAGAACGTGAGCCCCAGGAGGCAGGGCCCGCCTGATCTGGCTGCACCCAGCGGTGGAACAGGCTGCAAGTACCCTGGCAGCAATGAATTAATGTTCCCAGGCCCTCCGTGTCCCTCCTGGGGTTTGTCTATCAAAATCTGAGGTTGGTGGAAAAGGGTGATACTTATTAGTCCTTGGTTATGTTTGTATTTTTATTTTAGTGTCACCTCACATTGTTATTTTTCTTCTCAGTTTTCATAATTCAATATTCAGAGATGAATAACCTGTAAACCTCACAGCAGTTGAGATTTCCCTGCCCCTCACCACTTCCAGACCATGAACTTTCCTGCTGCTGAGCCGCAGCCCCACCCGCCCCTGTTCCCCTGTCCTCTCTGCTCAGGTGCAGAGAGAAGCCGCGGCCCCTCTCGGAGCCCTGTCCGCCCCCGGAGACCCCAGCCGCTCTCTGTCTCCCATCCTGCCGCCCACTCCCCGGGAATCGTCCCCTCTCACCTGCCAGCAGGAGCCCCTGCCAGGGGACCGGCCCTCGGGGGGCAGGGGCTGAGGGGGGCGCCAGGGTGTCCGCTCCCGGTCTGTCCCTGCCTCTGTGAGAAGAGCTTCTGCTCCGGAACCGCTCGTATCACTGCCGTCCCCAAGTGTCAGCTCTGCCTTCCTTATGAACTGAGCTGCCTCTGGCACACAGAGGGCTTTGCGGGGTCATGTGGGCCAGGGCGTGGTCTTAGCCCTGGACCCTCCCTCTCCCCGCCCCCGGACCGGCCTTCCCTGTAGTTCTCTTTCCTTCTGCCCAGGTACCGCTGAAGCCTCTTTCTTCTGCTGTGACTCTCCCACACAACACATACACAGACACACACACGCCCACACAAACACACACGTGCCCTTGATGGATAAGCCCAAGCCTATTTGGGGTCCTCTGCTTCCCCACATTTCCCATTTGGGGTGCACAGTCAACCTCCACTCAGGCTTCTCTCCTCCTCTCTGGTTTTACCCTTCAGGGCAGGAATCTGGGGGCTAATTCAGGACCACTTGTCACAGGATTTCACCTCCCCCATGCATCCAAATCACCTATGGAACTTTAGAACCATTTGATATGCCCAGGTGACGGGAATGCTGAGCCGGGCTGAGGCCCCGTGATGTGCAGCGTGTGGCAGCCTGTCCCCCTTTCCTGTGCTCAGGGAGGCTGTGCACATCCTGTTCCAATGCAGATTCTGACTCGGCAGGTGTGGGGGAACCTGAGATTCTGTGTATTAACATAACTGCCCCCAGAGGTTGCTGATAACAATGATAACCAGGCTGTCAATAGCAAGGCTAATGTGGACCCCTTCCCCTGAGAGGACATGTGGACCCCTTCCCCTGAGAGGACAATCTGCTCACCCACCCCAGTGTGACCTCTGCTTTGTCCTGGGTGTGAGTTTATCAGCACAACACTCACAGCCTAGGTGGGTTTCCAAACCCTGAAGATTATTTCCATTTGTGACACAGAAACCCAGCTAGTCACTGGGTTCTTAAATGCTCAGGGAGGAGACGCCCAGCAGGAAGGTCACAGAGAGGAATCTAGGGTGAGAAAGGGGCAAGCTGGGTGGTGGGAGGTTGGGTGGCTGGGCACTCCCAGTTCCTGGGGGTGAGAATATAGGGAGACTCTGTCTCTCCGTGGCTATTGGCTGAGCCGTAGCTCCAGAGCCTGTTGTGTGCTCCCTAATCATCCTGGGCAGCCTGTGTCCTCTTCCTGGTGGACTTTGCTATGGTCACTGTGCATAAAGTGAAGGCTCCTGTGGCCAGGATTCTCACCTGACCCCAGTTGGCTAGCTCACTACACACATGTGGGCAATGTGTTGTTATTGACTCTATATAAAGAGCCCTGCCTAGTGCTCTGCATGACATGGTGGCACGGCTGCAAGGCTGCAGGAGAGCAGAGCAGAGGCTGTAGAGGTGGCAGCACCGAGGACAGAGACTGGCATGGCTGTGTGGATAGAGAGACCCAGAGGCAGAGACCGGCTTGCTGCATGCAGACTTGCTCTGAGCAGATGGGATTCTAGTGATTGACCTGCCACCATAGAAATAAAGTTGGGTATAAACCCTTCCCAAGAACATTTTACTGTCATTTCTTTGGTCACTTTGAATCTATAGTGAACTTGCTCGGGGACGAAACCCATTGGCAAGACAGTCACCTTGTCTACTCCACAGGTGGTGCCAGGGAGGGAGTGGAGAGCTGCAAAGGGACTCTGAGAGAACAGGATGCTCCTGGGCCCATAGAAGGAGTAGGCTGGACAGGCAGGCACCAGGTGGGACCCTGGGGGGACTGTTAGAGGAATGGAGGGAATCGAGGCTCCTTGTCCTCCTCACTAAAGCCAGCTTCCTGTGTTAACTTCCCAAGTCATCTGCGTGTCCAATGCCACCCCCTGGAGGGCACGAGGAGACCTGCACCAATGTCGGGGCTGCACCAGGGAGGCTGACCAGGCTCAAGGGGTGTGAGGCAGCCCTGAGTCCTGGGCAGAGGTGGGCCACACTCTAGGATGAGGGGCTGCTGGTGAACTGGGTCCTGGTCACTGTGGGTCCCCAGGCTGCCCAACTGAATCCCAGTTAAGCTGAGTCCAGGGAAAGGAGGGAATTTGTCCAGAGAGGTCCTGACCTAGTTATGGGCGACCTGCCCCCCAGGGAGCTATGCTGCCTCAGGAGGGGATGTCTCTAGATTTAGAAGGAGGGGCCTGGTGGGGAGTCCCTTGAGACCGTTAGGGGAGGGCTCTGGCCTTGGGGGCTGGGCCCCAGAATTGTGGCCCCTCATCAGAGCCCTGGGAGGTTGCCCCCAAGTCGTCTGTGCCCCTGTCACCTGCTCTAGGTCTCGCCCAGGGCTAGAGCAGCTCCACCTGGAGACTCCGACATGGGGTCCTGGGGCTCCTCTGTTAGGGGAAGGGAGGTTCCCGAGGGTACCCCCAGCCCTTGCAAGGTGGAAGCAAATGCAGACCCTGGGTTCTCCTGTCCCGTCCTGCAAGGGACGTTCCCCTCATTCCCCAGGATCTTTGGACTGGTAAGGTGTCTTCAGAGACCCCAGAGATGGAGAGTGTCCCCCTGTCTTCTTTTGTGGTCAGGGTGGGGCTCTGACCTCCCATGGTGGTAATTCCCCCTGGGGTGGAGGGCCTGAGTTTGTGGGAGGTCAGGTCTCTGAGAAAAGAGGAGGGACACAGGTGTCTGTTTTATGGGACTGAATTGAGATCAACCCCCGGCTGTTAGGAAGCCTCCATCTTCTCTCTGCACTCTACAAGAGATAAAGGCCCTTCCCTGGAACATTCGCAGGCACCTGCTGGCCTCCTCCCAGGCTGGGGTCAGGGCCCCTGGGTCTCAGGGAACATGGTCTCTGCCACACAAGTGGTGACATTCTTCCAGTATATGGTTTCTCTCATCCATTTAATGGTTATTTACTGAGCATCTGTGATGTGTCAGGCCCTGGGAACTCCAGAGAACATGACACACCCGGGCCCTGCACTCATGGAGTTTACCTTGTAGCAGGGAGACAAGCCCTCAGAGTGAGTCACAGAACTGAGGAGTTAATTATAATGGGGAGAAGGGCCATGGAGGGAAAGGGTCTGGAGCATCCGGAGCATGGTATGGAGTCTCACCTGATCTGGAGGTGCATGGAGCACCCCTGAGAAAGGGACCTTCTGGTGAGACCAGGAGTTTGAGTGGACATTTGCCCCTTGAAGGAGGGAAGCTGGAGGGAGGAGCTGCCCGCAGAGGGACCCGTCTTCTGGTGGGCAGATGTCTGGCTGGATGGAGGGGCTGACGGTGTCCGGTGTGGGAGCTTGGAGAATGAGAAGACTGTGGGCTCAGCGAGGCTGGCACAGGTCAGGCCTGCTGCCTGTGGGTGCTGCTGAGGGAGGCAAGCAGCCACTGGGGAGAATCCTGGCTGAGGCAGCTCTGCCGCCCTCTGGCAGACGAGGCCAGGCAGCTCTGAGTGTTTATTCAACATCATCTGTAGACATTTTCTGTGCATTGCATATGTTAACGCTCCATCATGCTGCAGCTCTGCAAGTCTCTGCAGCTCCAAGAATTCTTCCCCCTCCCTCAGTGGGATGTTACCAAACTTAGATTCCCAGGAATGTGTATCAGCTTGTTTGTCTTAGGTTACACTGTGTGTCTCCCTGGTGGCCTTGATGTGTGGCTGGAGTGCTGGGTGATGGGTCCATGGGGAAAAGGCCTATGTGGTCCATGCACTTGGAGCAGGGAGCCAGGCCTTTAGGAGGTGATCACAGAAGGATGAAGTTAAGAGGGGGAAGAAGGGAAGGCCTAGATGGTCGCAGCATCTAATGAGCTGTCTGGGGAAAGTGTGCTTTTCTGGGACCTCAAGTGTGAGTGGGTGTGAGTGGACCTTGGCCCTGTTAAAGATAGAGGCAGAGGAAGGAAGATTTGCCTGCAGAGGGACCCATCTTCTGGTGGGCAGGCACCTGCATGTTTATTCAACATCTGTAGACATTTTCCACGGGACACATATATTAATTCTCCATCATGCTGCAGCTCTGCAAGTTTCTTTTGCTCTGAGAACTCCACCTGTTCCCTCAAGGAGATGTTACCAAACTCAGATTTCCAGGAATATGTATCAGTTGGTTTTTGTCTCAAATAAATTGCAGTGTGTGTGTGTCCCGGTGGCCTTGGTGTGTGGCTGGAGTGGTGGTGGTGGGTCTGTGGGAAAATGAAGGAGGAGCAGGGAACCGGGCATGTGAGGAGGGGACGGTCTGTGTCAGGGAAGCAGGGCGGGGGGATGGACGATTTGACTCATGCCCAGAGCCTGGTGTCTAGATAGAACAGGGTCCCTGACTCTGGGGACAGAGCACCACAGACCCCTCCATGTCCCTGGGCCAGGTGAGGTAGGAGCTGCTTCCCTCCTGTTCATCAGGGCCTGGGCCTCAGGGCTGAGATGGCTGCACACTCACAGCCCCACCCAGTGCCTAGAGGGACCCCAACAGTGCCCGTTTTTCTTCTCTCTCCCTTCCCTTTCCTGGGGTTTCTTTCCTGCCCCACCTTCTCCCTGGTTGTCTGTGGACAGCCTCAGCCAGTGGCCCCACCTGCTCCCGTGCCAGGCAGCTGCCTTTTGGTCACTGCCCCCTCACAATGTCTTGGCAGCCCAGCTGTGACCTTTGTTCTGACCTTGACCCCAGGAGGGAAGAGGAGTGAAGCCAAGATTGGCCTCTTCCAGGTACCTACATTCTGGATATCCTGACTGGTTGTCAGGGGAATCATGCTTCCACATCTGGTGGAAGCATTCCTCCCTTTGGAAGTAATACCTCTAGGCCACCAGTGCATAATGTTGCAGGGACAGGAAGCAGAAATGTTACTAGTGGATCACTAAAGGTGTAGTGAGCGGGGTCACTCCCATTTCCATCCCTTGATTCTTGTACCTAGAATCCTAGCTATGGGAGAAAAGCACCATAATTGGACACAGATTCCAAGGATATGCAGCCTCTGTGGGTACATTCCCCTAGACCTGCAATGTATTGCCACCTTTCTGCAGTAACTGAGTGTCCAACAGGCCATTCCACTTTTCTGTCAAGCCAGCCTGTCAAGATGGTAAAACCTCTGTGAGGTAAGACCTCCAGTGAGCTCCAAGAGTATGCACCCACTGCTGCATTT